CTGCGTCCATCGCTAACGGGGGCATCTTAGAACCACCAAGATATGAAATGTGAGAACAAGGAAGTAGATTATGGAAAGGAGAGAAGAAGACAAGTCATATCTAAAGCAGATATAGCATTCTTGCATCTTAGAGGGGCAAACATCACTAGTTTTAAATCACTAGAACAGAGGACAAAACTCAACCAATCAAGGGGGAGGAAAGCAACCCAAATGGGAAAATGAAACAAGCAAAAAGAGTAAGCCAAGGAATAGTCGGAGAAAGCATATGAAAGGAAGGCATAACTAGAACCAGCGCATGGAATAAAAAAACACTAAAAAGGGGTGGGGGCAGAGAGTTGTCGCTAGATGCCAGAGATGCACTGACATCAGCCCCCTCTGATTCCTGGAAGAGTGGTTCTTTTAGAGAGAGCCATAGGCAAATTTTGAAAGAAAAAGTAAGAGATTGGACATTTAGTATTAATTGTATGTTTTGGTAAAAAGAGCACAAATCGGCATAAAAACTAGTTGTATCTCGTTCGGATCACACCACTCGATAAACCAACATAATCATATAAACTGGTTTGGCACCATTGATACAAAGGGTGTATGGAGTGGTGGGGAAGAGAGGCAAAATTAAGATAGGCTACGGATAACACTCTAATTACACATGTTTAGTCTCTCATTTCTTTAACGTTTTGGATCATGTTCTTGCTCATTAAGCCGACTTTACACATCTCCATGAGTATGCAAGCTTTGATTTTCTCTCTCTCTCTCTCTCTCTCTTTCTATGGAGTAAACCTCTTTCTTACTTTTGTATGAAGAACCCTAGTTCAATGTGTTAGGATCTTTCTTGTATGAACCTTTGGATGTTACAATGATTGATTTTATTCAATTGAGGCATGATTATTTGAGTCAATTGAGTCTTGATCACATTCTTTTGATTTATGCTTTAACCTAAGAGAGATAGAATCTAATTGGGTTGAGAGAGTTTCTTCAATTGGAAGTGGTGAATTGATTGTGCGAGAGTCAATCATTTCACTACTTCGTATTGGAATTCACTCCAGCAAAGGAGATCTCTATGTATTGCCTTAGCATTTTATTCTAGTGAAGGTTAGCCACCTACCAGGTATTTTGTCTACAAGGGCTTGGTTTGCCTTAGTCGAGATTCCAAGTTGTTTTCGGATCTTCCGTAGAATAATCATCAGTAAAATAACTAAAGAAAATTACAACTTGGACCTAATTGAGAAGCTAGTGGGACACATACGTGAGTGACCTCTCTTACATATGAAAATTGGAACATTTACTTGCTTTCTTTTTCTATTTGCTTTCAACAAGCTTCTCTACACTTTGATTGCTAAATAATGGAGATTTCACCGAGTAGTCAATACTTATAGGACATGGGTTTACAAGTAAAGCTAAACCCACTTTACTGCAGTCTTTCAGTGGTTACACTTGGCCATTGTTAGGGGTTGTGGTTTAGTGAATCAGTTACTATTACATGCGGAGCGAAGCGGGGCGGGGCGAAAACGGTGCGGGTTGGTCATGGTACTCGTACTTGACCTGCGAATCGGGCCAATTCCATCTAGTCAAGAGAAGGACTTGGTAAGACCAGCCCAAAATGGTGCGGCTGTGCGGGTTGGTCATGTTACCCGTACTTGACCTACAAATCATGTCGAATCCGTCTAATCAAGAAAAGAACCGGGTAAGACATGCCCAAAATGAGGTGGCCACATCCAATCTGTCGAGGCGAGGACGAATTGACATTCTAAATTTCCATTTAATCTGGATCACTTTCTCAAAACCCTATGGAACCCATAATTATTGATTGTCCAAATAGCTTCTAATTTTATTAACAGTGTTGGTTGTTATGAGTTTTGGCTCACTAGATATAGATAAGGATATTTAGAGGGTTTGATCCAATGCTAGATCAAACAGACAAACCATTATTTTAAGATAGATTATAAAAATGCATAACTCATTTCGTGTTAATTGTTTTGCACTTTCTCTTATGTTTTGATAAAACTGCAACAAATCGACATAGAAACTTATTGTATCCCAATCAGCCATACCAATTGCAAAACTAATGATATAAACTGGTTTGACAATTTGATACGAAGGGTTTGTGAAGTGGTGGGGAAGGGAAGTATAATTATGAATTATGATATATTATCATTATATGTGTGGCGAGTCAGAAACGGTGTGGGTTGGTCATGGTACCGGATTGGACCTCTTGTACAAGAGTCGGACCAAACCCGTCCACTCATGAGAAGGACCAAGTAGAACCTGCCCTAAAACAGGGTGGGCCAGGTCCAACCCATCGGCTTGTGACCAATTAGCCATTCTTATCGTGGATTTGTATCTTTCCTGTTTGTGCCCTAAGTGAGTTGGCATCATAAAAAGTGGTTGGTTCCCTGATTGTAAATTTTCCTTTTTAAATCACCAAAACCAAAGTTTGCAATGGAAACCATCACAACATATCTCAATTTCCTTTCATGAGAGGCACAGGAGGTGAATTTGATGGACTATGTTTGGGGAGCGGATTCGATGAGTAACCATAGGGTGAGTAATCATGAGTAACCTATTCACATCAGCGTAACACCCTATCTCTCTTACAGAAAGCTTTTAATTTTTTCTCTTTTAATCTTTAACGGATGGTTTCTCTCTCGTTGTTTAAATTTTTTGGCACAGATAAATCAGATTAATTGTGTTCTTTAAAATTATATCCACTTTGATATATATTTTAAACATAAAAAATTGAGACATTTTTTACCAGTCTATACCATGGTGGTATTGATTGGTATTAAATAAGAGCATACCATATGGTATGAAAGCGTACCATGGTGGTATGAACAAACCAAGACTGTAGGATGATTGAATACATGATAGTAGGAGTATACTAACTATCATTTGCGACTTATAACATTGTGTACCACAAGATACCCCCCCCCATACTAGGGTGGTATAGTATGGTATTTTTGACATGTATTCTATTCACCCACAAATTTGTAGATCCAATAGATCATGATAAACTCGTTTTTTCTGTATAAATATTTTCATAAACAACTTAAAACAAAAGAGATACCATATGGTATGGAGTCGGTAACGAGAGGTATAAAAATAATTCTAAAAAAATATTGAAAATTGATTACAATTAGTAGAGCACAACGAACACGTTCCATCTGTGGAAAAAAATTTGAAATTTGAGTTAGAACGAAGAATATAAGAGCCCATTACATGTGAATTTTCTGAGTCCACTTAAAAAGAAAGGTCTAGATTTAGTTACTCATGAGTTATTCACCCTATCATGTACGCTATGTTTGGGGGTCGTATGGAAAATTAAAAGTACGGGTGATAATTGGTTGGCGATTATCAGTTAAACAGAAAACTGAAAAGAAAATCATGGTTATTCACCAAATCGAAAACCGTTACCTTTGCTTCGTTGTCTGTGGGCTAATTCAGGGCTTTATGCCAACCGGCAATTGTCAGTTTCTAACTGAGATAAACTCGGTGCACCACTACAACAGCCAAACCTCTCATCTCCCTCTCCTCGCCCCTTACCGCCACTCTCTCCCTCTCCAGCCTCCACCAGATCTCGTTGCCCACCAGGCCACCACCACAGGACTATCGCCCTCCACATCCTCAATCGCCCCCATCTGACTTCGCCGACCCTTCTCTCCGAACACTCCCTCCTTCCCTTTTGTCGATTCGCACTCTTCCTCCCATTTCAAGTTTCGAATCGTTCTCCAACACATCCCAAATGACAAACCCCGACAAATCACAATTGGCGACCAATCTGATTGTTCCCCACCCCTCTCGTCTTGTCTCATCACCCGCCAAGGGAATCCCCACCATTTCCAGCTCGTCCCCCCTCCTCTAGCGCCCACGAAATCCAAATCCAAGCGTGCCTTGTCTCGCCTCCATCATCACCCTGCCGCGTCATTCCCCTCTGTCAGCAGCTCGTTACCTCGCCGTCTTCAGCTCGTCGCCAAGTGGTGGTCAATCGGCGGCCAATCCTATCGTTTCCCACCTCCAATCGGTGGTCAATCTCGCTTATTTCCCAATGTTGTTGTTGATGTCGCCTGCTGGGAATCCTTCTGTCGTCGGCCTCTCTCGGTTAGCGGTCAACCAAAAAATTGCACCTCCTATTGTCGGTGGCGGTTAACCACCCAGCTTTGCGAAGGCGGTGCCAGTGGACGGTTTGTGTCTGTTTTCGATGGCGGTTAATCGCGTTTGCGGTTCGGTTTAACCGAAACCTCACCGACTAACAGCCCTAATCGAAAGTATTGTTGATTATTAAAGTTTGTGATGATTCTAATTTGGAATCAAAACTCAAATTTCTCATTTAATTGGTTCTCAAATCCCACACATGAAGGATTTGTCCAAAAGCCATTGTTTGTTGACCCAAAATGGAGGGTACCAAATCCGTGGGGGACCCACGGATTTGTAAATCCCACCTCATACCCTCGGATTTGGAGACAAGCTGAAAAACCATCAAATCCATGATAAAAATAGTTGAACAAACAAAAGATTTCCTCAAATCCACAATGCCCAAAATCCCTAATAAATTCCAAGATTTTTAATTAGCAAATCCATGACAAAACCCTCGTTATAAAATCCTTGAAGCAAACGACCCCTTATTTTAGGTGTGGGCGCTAAATGACGAACTGGGGTTCAGGTCGATGCGGTTCGTTCTAATGGTTCTTTTGCGAATTGGCAACATTAACTTTGATCTAACCGAATTTTTATCGAATGTGATAGCTTATAAGTAATAACAAGTTTATGATGATTATTGCCTGAATTAATATATATAGAACAAGAAAGTAGTCAAATACATTTTCACTTCCCATTTTGATAAATTATAGGTTAACATAAGTTCTATTTCAGCCTTTAATGCTTCTTTATTATTTGTGTCAGTTTTTAAATCTCTTCTTGCATGTTTTCAGCCTTACATATGTATAAAATGATACCAGTCTAGATTCAATGCACTTTTTTTGTAAGTATAAATGGTCAATTAAATTCTCCTTTTGGTATCCCACCTAACAAATTCCAAACAAATCAAATCTGATGTTGTAGAATCGTAACTATTAATAGCAATCCTAATCCTAATTAAATTCTTACCCCCTAAATTCCTTCAACTTTCCTAGTACCGATACAATATGGCCAAAGTCTCACAGACCAAACAGATTACGAATTAGAGATTCTCCGTCGCAGTATAAAAGAGGAGATTTTAGTTTTACCCTCTCCAAGCCCTAAACAGAACCAGAGAGAAAAAAAAACAGAGTGTTGATTCCTCCCTAGCCCTTCCACCCTCCCACGCCGGATTTTGAAGAAAAAACAAACAAACCCTTTTCGAAAGGTTTGATTTTTCGCGATCCCACCACATCCAAAGTTCCTGACAATGACCGTCCCTGCAGAAGATGCCACATTCGTCGATGACGACGGCCGTCCCAGGCGCACTGGTAAGAGCTCAAGACTCTCTGTAAAATTCCCTTCCGTTCTCTGTTTCTCTGTCTCCGCGATTACTTTGGGCTTATTCTTCTTTTTCCCTGAATTGCATGTGGTTTGCAGGCGGCGTGTGGACGACGAGCGCTCACATAATCACAGCAGTGATTGGGTCCGGAGTGCTTTCATTGGCTTGGGCAGTGGCTCAGCTCGGTTGGATCGCCGGCCCGATTACGATGCTCTGTTTCGCTCTCGTGACGTACTGCACTTCGACTCTGCTTTCTTACTGCTACAGGTCAGGGGATCCTGTTTTAGGCACCAGGAGTTACTCTTACATGGACGCCGTCGGTTCCAGCCTCGGTACGGTTCAATCCTCTCTCCCTCTCTGTCTCAGTTTTCAATTCCGGCCATATTGATCAACCCACATTTTGATTTTCGCAGGGAAGTTCCATCATAAGCTGTGTGGGTGTGTCCAGCAATTCAATCTCTTCGGATCGGCAGTTGGCTACACAATAGCATCGGGTGTAAACATGCTGTGGGTTTCAAATCTCATTCCCCGATTTTCTACTATCTGCCTTTACTTAAATCAAAATTATCATCTATCTAATGTACAAGAAACAATGGAACAGGGCGATCAGGCAGACCAATTGCGTTCACAGAAGCGGCGGCGTCTCCTCCGGCGCTTGTAGCACGAATGCAAGCCCTTACATAATTGCATTCGGCGTTGCGCAGTTGATCCTGTCTCAGATCAAGAATTTTGGTCAGCTGTGGTGGCTGTCGTCTGTGGCTGCAGCCATGTCCTTCACTTACTCCTTCATCGGGCTAGGGCTCGAAATCGCGAAATTCGCATCGACGGGGAGGATCAAGGGAACCATAACTGGAGTCAGCATTGGCCCAACCGTCACTCCAGTGCAGAAGGTCTGGAGGGTCTTCCAGGCGCTGGGGAACATCGCTTTCGCCTATTCCTACAACATGATCCTAATCGAAATTCAGGTCAGTTTGCCCTTCCTTCCAAAGTTCAGTAACCAATTTGTTAGACCGACCCAAGTTCAGTAACCATGATTTGATTATAAATTGATCGTCTTATACAACTTTTTTTTTTTTTTTTTTTGTTGCGGTTAAGCTGACAATCTGTTTCGATACCAGGACACAGTGAAATCGCCACCATCAGAACTCGAAACAATGAAGGTCGCGAATCGATTCAGCGTGGCAGTGACGACCCTCTTCTACATGCTATGCGGCTGCTTCGGGTACGCAGCGTTCGGGGACTCGTCCCCGGGCAACCTGCTGACATCGACGGGGCTAAAGCCTTACTGGCTACTCGACATCGCGAACGTCGCGGTCGTCCTTCACCTGTTGGGCGCGTACCAAGTCTACAGCCAGCCGCTCTTCGCATTCGTCGAAGAGAAAGCCGCCAAGTGGTTCCCGGACAGCCGGTTCGTGAACAAGGAGACCAAAATCCGGCTTCCGGGAAGCAGCAAGGATGGCAACTACTACTACAATTTCAACATGTTTAGGCTGGTCTGGAGGACGGTTTTCGTCGTGGTGTCGACGGTGATTTCGGTGCTTGTTCCGTTCTTCAACGACGTGGTCGGGCTGCTGGGGGCGATCGGGTTCTGGCCGCTGACGGTTTATTTCCCCGTGGAGATGTACATTGCGGAGAGGAAGCTGGCGAGGTGGAGCCGGACGTGGGTGTTGCTCAAGTTGTTGAGCTTTGGTTGTTTCGTGGTCACTCTGGTTGCGGCGGCTGGGTCCGTTGCTGGAATCATTGATGATCTTAAAGCTTCGAAAGGTTCGTAGATAGATGAGGGTGGTGACGATGGAATAAATGGGATATTGGAGTTTTAGTTTAGGTGTAAGTTGTTTGACAGTGTTTGTTTGGAACATAGTTTAGTTCTCTGCTCGAATGTGTAAAATATGTTCTTTCTGGATGTGATGTTCATATATAGTTTCCGTTGTTATTCTCGGTCCAAGTATTTTTGAACCTCGTGCAATTTCCTTTTGAATGTGTGGTTCATATTTGTCAAAGGAAAAAAAGCGTCCCAACTTTGAACGGACGGGAACAAAATGCGGGACAACCTAAGGCACAAGTCAACCCACCAACATTTTTTTTCGGATGCATGACTCTTTGTATATCTATTTTGGTAGGGGGTGTAGGTAGGGGTGATAAACGGTTAGTCGGTTATCGGTTAGGTTAGTCGGTTATCGGTTTTAACCGATAACCGAACCGATAAAGTCGGTTAGCGGTTAACCAATAATCGTTACTTTCTTATTAATTTCGGTTTCGGTTAGTAGTATTTTGGTTAGTGGTTAACCGCTAACCGATTAATCTGTTAGCGGTTAAGCGACAAGAAAACCGATAACCGCCTACTAGTGTGACTCCATGGTTTTTTACTTTGGCTAAGGGAAAAAGTTGTAAGATTCAAAACCAATCAAAGTTGCAATTCCAAACATCCCAATTCTCACCTATTGCAAACAACCCTCCATCAAGAGTCTCAAATGTTTTTAAGAGTTAGAACTCGAAAGTCACCCCTCTCTAAATTCCTTTTGCACTCGATAGAGTGAACCTTAGGTTGATGACTATGGGCTAGATGAAGATCTTGGAGTAAATGATGACTATGGGCTAAGATGAATTGGAGCGAGATCCTCGTATTATTTAGGTTGATGATTTGGAGATAATGAACTTGTTATTTGTGTCTTGTTGTGATTGTGACTTGTGGTTGAATTGTGGGCATGTAGACTTTATGTTGTGGAGTTGTGGTTGAATTGTGTGGTTGCTTTAGGCTTTATGTTCAATTGATTTAGATGACTTTATGGTGTGTGATTATAGAGGCTGAAACAAAAGCAGGTCACTCAAAATTGAGGGTGAATCATTAAAAAAGGTGGTTGAAATTCGCTTTTGGGTGGTCGGTTTCTGAACGAAAACCGGAAAGTGAACCAGAAATTGCGGTTTCGGTTAACCGCAAGGGAAAACCGAAACCGATGTTTGCGGTTTTCGGTTAACCGAAGTCTCTGTCGGTTTCGGTTTCGGTTAGTGATCTTGGGACAATTTTGGTTGCGGTTAACCGATATTTCGGTGCGGTTAAACCGAAACCGCACCGACTAACACCCCTAGGATATGGGTAAAGTTTGATGGGAAAGAAGGAATGATTTTTGTTTGTACCCATACCCATTTACTTTGGGTTGGGTTGGGTTTATAACAAATGGATTTGGGTTTGTACCCATGTCCAAATACAAATTACAGTTTGGTACCTAAACTTAATAGATATGCATATTTAGTACCTAAATTTAATTTTTTTGCATATAAGTCCTCAAAATATCGATGGAAAATTACGTTTTGGTACCTAAATTTTTTTGGTCTTACATTTTGGTACCTAAATTTTTCAAGTTTTACAAATAAGTCCAATTTTTGCATGTGTAGTTAAAACACCCTCAAGTAAATGGATATCCATATCCAACCCATACCCATTTAGATAATATCCATATCTAACCCAAACCCATATACAAACCCCAAACCCATACACACATCACCCAAACCCTACCCATAATAAATGGGTCTACTTGGGTTTGGGCAAAATTACCCATGGGTGGGTAAATTGCCATCCCTAGGTAGGGTTGTTCAAATGGTTATCATGTTAACAGGAAAACTAAATTAACCAAATCAAAGTTTAATTGGTTTGGTTAATCGGATGATCGGATTAACCAAATAACATAATATTACATGAAAACAATTATCATGTTAATGAATAAAACATAACCATATGTTGTTACTATCATAAACTATCATTATATATTGACTCACTCCTACTGTCACTCTAGAAAATGGCCAAGTGTAACCACTTCCTAAAGCGTAGTATAGCGGGTTTGGGTTTTAAAGTCAACCCGGGTCCTAGATATGATGACTACTCAGTGAATTCGTATTATCTAGCAATGAAACTTTAGTGAAGATCTAAACTAACAAACAAGCAAAGCAACTAAACGGTTGTTTTCAGGTCAAGAGAGGTCACCCGGATATGGTTCCCCCTAGACTACAGTTAAGCCGGATTGCAATTTACCAAGTTCAATTTCGATGATAGTTATACTGCGGAAGGTTCTTAAACAGTCTGAAGTCTCGACTAAAGGTCTCCAGACCCTCTCAATCTGAGTCTCTAGCGGGCGACTAACCTCCACCGGAGTAAACAGATTGAGGCCCTAACGAACAAAACCTTCTCTACCGAAGTAACTTTGATACAGAATAGTGAATTGGCTCCTCGACTAAAGTCACCAATTCACTACCTTCAATTAAGGGTGCTCTATCAACCTAGGCAGATATTCTCATTCTAGGTTAAAGCAGAAACAACAGGAATTTGATCAGGATTCATGCCATTCAATCATTCAAACCTCAATCGAATATAATCAAATCATAGAATCAGTACTTGGGTTCATACAATCAAACCTAACATACAAATCTAGGGTTTCCCATGCCCAGATGAATGGGAGAACTACTCCATGGAGAAAGAAGCAAAAGCAGATTCAGACGCGGAAATCATACTGTGAAGGATGGATTTCTGCTCCTGGACGTTGATCGGCACTCCTCCAAGCTCAAGCCAAGCTCCAATGGTGATGAAGAACAAGCTAGGGCACTTGGAGACTCTTGTTCGTCGCTTTCTCTCTCTAAGAATCGCTCTGTCTCTCTAAAACTCGAATCCCCCTCACTTGTGGCTGGAAATTGGCTTAAAACCAGAAAATCCCGACTCACACGACCATGTCACACGGCCGTGTGGCTCACCCAGTTGCCCGTGTGGCTCCAAACGCTGCGTATCGATTAGTTGAATTTCAGGCTTCCCACACGGCCAGGGTCACACGTCCGTGTGGAAATTCTGCTCTGCCCGTGTTTGTTCTCGTAGAATTCCACACGGCCACATTGCTCCTTCACACGGCCGTGTGGAATTTATTTGTGCCCGTGTGAAGGCTCGCACAATCCCACACGGCCACATTGGTCCCTTGCACGGCCGTGTGGTGTTTGTGTGTGCCCGTATGACTTCCTCAGCGGCTTGCCTCGCGCCCGATATTCGTCCAATCAACCCCGAACTCGCTCCTAAACCTTCATTCACTTACTAGGACCTGAAATATCATAAACAAGCACAACCTAGCGTGAAATCGGCCTAAAACACGAGAATCAACACCTCAAACGGCTCAAGAATAGGGGTGAAAACATGTGTAATTAACGGTCTATCATATATAAGCAATTATAATAAGACTAACCATCCATGATTGTCATCATCATTGAGTTAATACATCATTCATCATCTCTGCACCTAATATAGTTAGCTTAAAAGAAACCCCTTAACATAAATACATACCAAAACCACTCATCCTGAAGTTAAAACTCTCTTACAAAACACTTAAACTATACATAGTTTAAGGTAACTGTCATAGTATTGTACGTAATCCTAAAGTCTAGTAGCTATCCAAAATGTTTTGGTTTAGTAAATAGGCAGGCACATTTAATTTTTGGGTCATAATGTTTTGGTTTGTTGTGCACATGCTAATAAAATAGCGAATCACGAAAGTTTGGTTTGGTTGGTTGCATGGTAGTATAAATAATTTTGTATATTAGGTGTATCATTAATTGGTTAATTGGTCTTATTGGTTAGCAGTGTTGAAACCAAACAAAACCACCAAAACCAAATAAGCTAAATTATTTAACCAACCAAACCAATTATCCAAATTAACCAAACCAAATTAACCGAATGCTACCGGTTAATATGGTTACCATGGTAACCAATCCGTTTGAACACCCCTAGGTGTAAGATTGACACAGAAGACCCACTGACCCGTCTAGTCCTTGAGGGTCGAGACGGGTCAATTTGTCTACAGGGTCAGATTAAGAACGAGTCATTTGTTGATCCTGTAAGGGTTGGAATGTAGGGACTTAGGGACTTGTTACTTTTTGACCTTGTGATCCTTAGCAAGAACAAATATCTCATACCACATTGGACCTCTTTGTAAAGTTCAAAAATTTAGGTACTAAATTGTAAAAATAAAAAATTTTGGGTATCAAGACGTAATTTTACCATCAAAACTTATGGACTTATTTGTAAAAAAATTAAATTTAAGTACTAAATTGTAAGAAAAAATAAGTTTGGTTACCAAAATGTAATTTATAAAAAAGTAGTGTGTTGATTAGTGTCGACCCACCGTCCCAACTCTTGAGGGTCAGACAGGGTCAAGAAGGAGACAGGGACTGGACGGGTCAGTTATACATCTTGACCCTTCAAGGCTGGATCAGGGATGGTCAGGCCAATTTCCAGCCCTACTTTTTGGTTTTCTCAATAAAACTAGTGAATGCACGAAAATAAGGGCGGGGAATCCTTGACGTTGTAGTTAACCACATTGATTGCAGTTGGTGATTAACAGCTAACCCCAAATTGAATTAGCAATTAGTTACGGTTAACTGCTGCATAAATGAATAGATCGAGGATTAAATCGCAATCATATTCTCACTCTAATGGACATCGACTTGGGAGGATGTTTTGCTCTTAGGGAACAATAATTGTGATTAAGATTTACCTATACCTTAATTATCTTCTAACAAGTTATCTATGATAATAATTGAATCAACTGAACTCCAAAAAAGAAAATGAATCACCAGCTAAGGTCGAGTTAGGTAATTTTTTTCAGGTACGTATAAGCGAGGAAGAAGATTGTCAAGAAAACTAGAGATGAATGTCTAGTTTGAATGGAGAATAGAAGGTGTATTGCAAGTGGTATTCTTAGAATGGAGTGAGCCAGTGAGGGGGGGCTATAGAGTTGTCACCCCCATGGAAAAGAGAAAATGAGTTACTATCTCTCCAAGCAAAAGTAGGTTGTTAGATATCCAAGGAAGTCGGAGAGACAGATTTTGGGAAGAAAGAAGAAGTGAGCTCTTGAAAATTGGTATTTTGGAGCCTCCT